AAAGCAAACCAATATTAGTTTATGTTATAAATGCTATAGAGAATAAACATATCTACAAATAAAACCCCACATTTACGTGTAAGTTTAAATCGTTAACTTATTTTCTTATATGTTCGAAAAATATACTATCTTAAATGAGTAAATTATTATTAAAATGGTTATGAGATGGAAAAACATGAGTACATGACATATTAGGATGCACGGGTTATAGTTTCTGTCTCCAGATGTACAAACCACATTTTTTTTACTATTTTTTTAAGTGTACATCTATCCAAAACAAAGTTGTATCGTTCTTTTTTGTTTAAAGTGATTTAAAAACAAATCAAATATTGAACTGGTACGGGTTCAGATTATAAATGTTAATAACATTTTTAAAAGTTACGTTTACAAACATACCCGTACGTACGCAATATATTTCAAAATTTAGTAACAAATTTTATTTTGAAAATCAATCCCGCACGTACGTGCGGGTCCAAATCTAGTTATGATTAAATTGGTGGACTTAATACGTTTGTTTAGCATCTATTTTCAATTCTTCCATAATACGTTTTGTTTCATATAACAGATGCGATAACTTTTCTAGTTTTTCACATATATTAAGAAACAATTTTAAAGTTGATGATAATTATATAATTTTTTGTGATTCACAGATTTTTAGAATTCTAAACTAGTAATATTTAATTATTTACTTTGAAATTTGTAAATCTGAATTAATAGTGCATTGATAATTTTAAAAATTATATTTTTGAAACAAAAAAATTCTCTATTATTGCTTTGAAAAAGTTTGTGTTTGAGCAAAGCCTTTGGAAAAGTTAAAAACATTTACTTTTTTAGTTGTTAGCAAAGAAGTATCGAAATCTTCTATGACCATTTTCAATTATGAAGCCTACAATCATCTAACGTTTTCAGGTAATAACTTTCTTAACCATCTAATTTGAAACATTTGATTGACATCATCTCATTATATACTCTATCAGCATTCGTTTTATCACCAATTCTCTGGAATGCCTTAATCAGTGCCTTATATATATCAACATTAGATGGCTCTATCAGTCTCCTCTTCATAATTCTCAAGTATTTTTCTCCGGCTTTAACTTTACCGCAAGCGCAAAGTCCAATTGTTAGTGCCTCGAACACCTTGAAACCGGGAGAGATCTTTCGAAATTCCATCTCGTAGAACAGCTTGAGCCCTTGTTCGACGTCGTCTCCATTTATAAATCCTTGAATCATATGAGAATACGTATGTTCATCGGGTATAAACCCGTTACCTATTGACTTTGTTAGGATTTCGTTTGCGTGTTTCACGTTCTCAATCTTGCTTAGTCTCTTAACCATCTCATTGAAAGCAGAACAACTAGGCATAAGCCCTCTTGCTACCATTACCTCGCAATACTCCAAACATTTCTCTTCTTTCCCAAATCTCGCACAACCCTCGATAAGACAATTAAAAGTATCTTCATACGGATTTATCCCAGACTCCTCCATTTCACTCATCCACCGCTCTGCTTCTTCAACCTCACCCCTTTCGCAACACGCTCTAACAAAAGCCGTATAAACAAACGCATTCCCACTAAAACCTCTCTGAAGCATTTCGTCAAAAACGTTCCTCGCAGACTCCAAATCCCCTTCCTTTGTCTTCGCATACACAACGATCGAATAACCAATCGTATCGACAACCATATTCTTCATCAACAACTTCTTCAACAAACTCATACTCTCCTCGATTCGATTATCTTCCAAAACCCGAAACACCAAACTAGTATTCACAATCACAGGAGGTAAACATCTCTTCCCATGAATCCTATCTAACAAATCAACAACTTCTTTCAATCTCCCTTCTTTACACAACACACGAATCATAATCCGAATCGTCGTCTCGTTCGGATAAACCCTCTTATCAATTCCACACTCGTAAATCCTCCAAACAAGATCAACCCGATTCGATTTCGCAGAATAATGAATCAACGTATTCAAAGTAACCACACTAAGAATAAATCCACAACAACACAATCTCTTGAAAACTTCGAATCCTAATTCCAAATCCCTAATCTTAGCGTAACATTGAACAACCAAATCAAACACTAGAGGAGTAGAAGAAGAGACCTCGTAAGTATCCAACAACGAATCGACTAAACCGGAATCGGGATTTAACAGAGACGATTCGATTAAAGCTCGAGCGTCGATGAGTAACCTAGCTTTGACGAGGATGTGAATCGCGACGGCGTAAGAGGTGGTTCCGTGACGGAGGTTTCGTGTGTGAGCTGACCAGTGGAAGAAGGTTAAAGCTCGTTTCGCTGATTCGGGTTGTTTGAATCGGAGAAGGATTTGGTTAACGATGGAGTCTGATAGATCTATGGATGAGAATTTGGTTGAGAGAGTTTCCCAGTTATCGTTGGATTGTAAGGATTTGGAGATGGCGTTGATAAGGATTTGTTGTTTTTCGTTTGGATTTGGATTAGTCTTGGTGGAGAAGAAGAAGGAGAAGAAGCCATTGGTGAGCTTTGAAGATCGTTTGGTTGTTGCAGAGACGAACTGACGCCATTGTTGTTGTTCTCGTGAGCGGCGCATTTGACAAATTTATTTGGAATCTCCTGTATTAATTTTATGACTTATTAAAATTATTGGGCCTTTACTGGACTAGTCAGATAAATGGGCTGAGAGAGGTTTTAGCGAATATTGGACCGAGACTGAAGACTTAGTGGGCCTGGGAGTATATTGTTTAAGTACGATATGACTATCTTTAACAACAAAAAGTCTCGTATAAGACTTTAATTTGTAATTAACATTATTTTCAAAATTTCAGTATTTTACATGAATAACTAACTTTCGAAAGCATATTTACTTAACATTTATAATCAACGTTTTTTACTTAAAGCTCCGTATATGCTGACAAAGCTTTATCCATTCTTGTTTTTTTTCCTAAATATGAAAATAAAATATTAATATGTTTAGGTTTCCAAATTCCAATAGACAAAACGAAAAAGAAGCCGTCTTTTTTTTTTCTCTCTTTATTTTAAAGAACAAAAAGAACAAAAATTTTAAATTATTTTCTGATGAACAAAGATAATACCTAAATATTTCGAAACCTATTCAAATGACTAAATCTAATCAATATATCTAATTTACCAAGATTTGATAAACCTAAAAATCCGTATCTTATTACACCCTTATAAATACATTATTACCTACGTTGAATCTCTTACGAATTACTTTCTATCTCTCATTGTCAACTTTCCAAACTTACTCGATGTCGATGCCTGAAAGATCGTCGCCGGCACCACAAAGACAACCACCGTCGACGAGACCTTCCTTTCCTCCAGGCTATAAGTATGAACCTAACGACAAGAACCTCATTGAAACACTACTTGGACGGGAACACTACTTTGGAGAGAACAATAACTCATTGCTCAAGTTTTTTATTCATCAAGCAAACATCTACGAGTCCAATCCAGAACAACTCTCAGGTTTGTCTCCGTATAGATATTATTGTTTTCTTTATTTCTTTACGTTCTTTAATTAGGGTTTCCTTATCTTTATATGTTTTTTTATATGAAATAGTGGAATACGAGAAAGGTAATGATACAGAATGGTTCTTTATATCGGAGAGGAACAAGAAGAAGAAAGGTAAAGGTGGAATTAATCAGAAACGTGGAGGCAATGGAGGATACTGGCACGCAAAAGTTGCTACTAAGGACGTTTACGATGGCCAAGGCAACATTATTGGCTACAAGAGTCCACTTACGTACTACGTGGGGAAACAACCCAATGGCGTGAAAACTGATTGGTTAATGCATGAATATTGGGTTGATCATGACCAGTCTGATGAAGAAAAGGTATGTATGTATATGTTTCTTGGTTCCCAAGTTACTAAGTTGTTTTTATTTAATATTGTTGTGATTTGTGAGTTTTGTTTTGGTTTGGTGTATGTAGGACTATGCTCTGTGCAAGATATATAAGAAGAAGAAAGCAAAGGAAGAAGAGAGTGAGAAGCAGAAGAAAGCAGAGGAAGAAGAGAGTGAGAAGAAGAAGAAAGCACTGAAGAAGAAGGTTGAGCCGCAGCCTCATCATGTTGCGTATCAACAAGTTTGGCCAGGCAAGCTAGATTCTGATCAACAGCATCAGTTTTGGCCAAGCCAGCTAGAGTCTTATCAACCGCAGCCTCATCATCTTGCGTATGAACAACTTATATTTCAGCCAGCCCCGCTGGATCCCTCCTATCAACCGCAGCCTCGTGGTTTGGCGTATCAACAGCAGCAGTTTTGTCAAGGCCCGGTAAACTCTTCTCAACCGCAGCCTCCTCGTGATATTGAGTATCAACAACCGTATCAAAGGCAGCCTTATGGTTTTGGGTATGAGCAGTATCTCATGATGACGACGCTAGAGGAAGAGAATGGTGTCGCTACTCAACAACAACACCAACAACAGATGAGTCTTCCTACTCCTCCTACGCAAGTTCAAGATTCAAGATCCCATATGGTGATGACCGGCTGGAGAAAGGACAACAGTACCGAAGAAGACTTGTTGGATATGTCTAAAGATGACAGGTTCTTTGACATAGATGAATTATTCAATGATGAGGAAGAACATGATGGTGTCGCTACTAAGGACCAACAACAACAGCAAAGTACACCGAGTTTTCCTGATCAAAGTCAAGCTTCACCATCGGACCAAGACTGGTCGGGTTCTTTTAATGGCGAGTTCTATGACATTGATGAATTAAGGAACGATGTAAAGAAAGGCCACGATGAGTAGGGCTTTCACATTGGAGACCCGAACTCGTCAAAGTCTTTGTGTCGTTTAGGCTTCTTTAATTGTTTATTTTATCGATAAACTTTAGAAGACAGTAGCTTACTTTATATTGAATGAGAGTTTCGTGAGTATGTGTTATTAAGAGAAACAAAAGAAAACATACGACTATTGGAAAGTGGACGTAAAAATTGGAAAGTCTCCAAGGTATCTGTGAATTACTCAAATTTTGTTTGAGTCCGTATAGTAAAATAGTAGTAACAAAGAAAAGTAACTAAACTACGATTTATTCGAATTCTTATTGTAAGAAGATTAACTCAAACTAATTGACATTGTATGGATTGACCATAACTATTTATATAATAATTAAGTCCTATTACATCTTTTGATGTATGATTTTTTTCTTCACATGCTCTTTCGAGATAATGGTTAATTTAATTATTAATTTTGACAGAGTCTAAAACGGTTACATTTTCCAATGTATGATGTTTAGTTCGTTTCCATAAAGTTAGTTCGTTTGCGAACTATCTCTATGAGAGATAAAAATTATGACATTGTTTCGTCGTTTAGAAAACGTATCTGTTTTGGCTAAACGAAAACAACTCACATATGTAGTCAACCCCGTTTTCGAGATTTTAACAGAGATTAAACATCGTGCTTAAATAAACAACATCAACAAAACTTAGTTATTTTACGAAAAAGTCAACTTGAATGACTTCTTAAAGTTCGGGATTCATTTATCCCAAATTTGAAAGTTTGGAATTTTTATGTCATTTTTCCCAACATTATATTATACATGAACTGACTTATGTAATATTCAAGGTCACCGAACTTTCTTTTCCACATCAGCTGAATAAAAATTATTGTTTAGTTGACTCTGAATATTGCACAACTTTGTTTTCCTTTTTATTTATGTTTATTCGATCATTAAGAATGTTTTATACAATAATCTCCACTCTCCAGCTATAAAATTTTACTTGGTAAAATCTTTTCTATTTTTAATAGTATAGATATTTCCAGAGATAAATTCATGTACAGTACTCAGCTATATATATATAATTATATGGGAATTTTATGTATTATGCCATTTTGGAAACTCAAACTTGTGGAAGTGCCATTATCAATAATGTCTTTCAAAACATGCCACAAGGAGGGAAATTTGGACGATTTTACCCTCAGCATTTTTGAGTGAGTGTTGAGTGAGTTTTACAAAAATAGGAAGGAAGGAAGACAAAAGAAGCTGACTTTTACAGACATTAATCAATAGACAAGTTTTTTTTGTCGACATTCTTTGATTTTTGTCCACACTCGATTATAGACAATTTATTTTCTATTCATCTAACATATGTATTATAGACAAGTTCGTTTATGAAAAACTAGATTTACTTTACTATATACAAGTGTACATCTAGATAGATCTTTGATGGATATCTTCCATAGATGCATCACTTGTTTCATCTTCTACTCAATTATTTGTGGTTTCAAGAGAACTGTATGATAGACAAGTTTAGTCTACCGATTCGGGTCTATCAGATCTGGTCCATTGGATCTCGTCTGGCGGAACTGGTTTACCGGATCTGGTCCCTAGGAATTTGTCCGCTGGACTGTGATATGCCGGACTGTGATATGCCGGACTGTGGTCTGCCGGAACTCGTCTGCTGGAGTTATGGTCTGTCGAAACTGGTCCGTCGAATCTGGTCTGCCGAAACTGGTCTACGGAGCTGGTTATAGTTCACCGGAATTGGTTATGGTCCGCCGGATCTGGTACGTCGGAGTTCGTCCGTCGAATCTGGTCCGTCGGTATTGTGTGTTGTTGGAATAAAAAAAAAAAAATTGAAGATGAAGATGAAGAAGAGGAATAATAAAAAAAAAAAGATGAAGATGAAGATGAAGAAGAATAGAGAAGTAATGGGGTAAGTTGGTCTTTTTACAAAGTTCTTGTGGCAGACGGGAGAAGAGATTTCTTTAAATGGCAATCCTTAGAAGTTTTGTTACTGTTCAGTTCAGGGCATAGCCCACAATTTTCTCTAATTATATATTACAACTTTTCCAACAAATATAAAATATCTTATATTAAAAACAAATTAGAGAAATGACGTCAAAAAAAATAAAAATAAAGTGTTAAACCCAACCATTTTTGACTTGATAAAAAAGCTTCAACGCTCCTCTTTGTCTCCTTCTCCGTCGCTCTCCGCCGCGTCCGACTTCCCCAAAATCCTCCTTCTCTTCTCCGATCAATTCTTCCCAAGTAAGCTTCTTCTTCTTCGATTCTCTTCTTTCACCAATCGTACTTTTTCCTGAGTTCTTGTGTATATATATGTTCTTCACTTCCACTTTTTTTTTTTTGAATTTGTCGATCTCAAATCAAAGAGATTGAGAAACCTAATTGGTATCGTTCTAGTGTAATGCAATTGTATTGTGGATTTAATCGTTAATTTCAAGATTTGGAATTCGAATTTTTCTGTTTTCGATTCTGAAATCGAACCTAATTTTTTTCGTAATCGAGTTCATCGTAGTTCTTTGTGTAATCGTTGTGATCGAGTTCATCGCAGTGATGTATGAACCCTAATTTCTAGATTATTCAGAACCAGTTCGATTGAAGAAATCCTTGTTTCTGAGGTGCATGTAGTGATTGATGTAGCAATTTTGATGCTCGTGTGATGTTTGTTTAACAGGTGTGTATGTGTTGAGAGAGGAAAGATAGTGTACAGTTTCATAATGGAAGTGTGCAATTGTATTGAACCGCAATGGCCAGCTGATGAGTTGTTAATGAAATATCAATACATATCGGATTTCTTCATTGCGATTGCGTATTTTTCGATTCCTCTCGAATTGATATACTTTGTGAAGAAATCTGCGGTTTTTCCTTATAGATGGGTACTTGTTCAGTTTGGTGCTTTTATTGTTCTTTGTGGGGCGACGCATCTTATTAACTTATGGACTTTCACTACACATTCGAGAACCGTGGCGCTTGTGATGACCACAGCGAAGGTGATGACCGCTGTTGTCTCGTGTGCTACTGCTTTGATGCTTGTTCATATTATTCCTGATCTGCTGAGTGTTAAGACCCGGGAATTGTTCTTGAAAAATAAGGCTGCTGAGCTTGATAGAGAGATGGGATTGATTCGGACTCAGGAAGAAACTGGACGGCATGTCAGAATGTTGACTCATGAGATAAGAAGCACTTTAGATAGACATACTATTTTAAAGACTACACTTGTTGAGCTCGGTAGAACATTAGCTTTAGAGGAGTGTGCATTGTGGATGCCTACTAGGACTGGGTTAGAGCTACAACTCTCTTATACACTTCGTCAGCAACATCCTGTTGAGTATACGGTTCCGATTCAGTTACCTGTGATCAACCAAGTGTTTGGTACTAGTAGGGCTATGAAAATATCTCCTAATTCCCCTGTGGCTAGGTTGAGACCTGTCTCTGGGAAATATATGCTTGGGGAGGTGGTTGCTGTGAGGGTTCCACTTCTGCACCTTTCCAATTTTCAGATTAATGACTGGCCTGAGCTTTCAACAAAGAGATATGCTCTGATGGTCTTGATGCTTCCTTCAGATAGTGCAAGGCAATGGCATGTCCATGAGTTGGAGCTCGTCGAAGTCGTTGCTGATCAGGTTCAGCATAATTTCTCTTTCCTATTGTTTTCTTCTTTGTTATTTTTGGTCATAGCCTTATAATTTTGTTTCTTATAGTTTGGTTTAGTCTGAAGTCTGATATTAAATCTTTTCTATGCTTTCTTTTCTCTTATTCCAGGTGGCTGTGGCTCTCTCTCATGCTGCAATCCTCGAAGAGTCAATGCGAGCTAGGGACCTTCTCATGGAGCAGAATGTCGCTCTTGATTTGGCAAGGCGAGAAGCAGAAACAGCAATCCGTGCCCGCAATGATTTCCTGGCAGTTATGAACCATGAGATGCGGACACCTATGCATGCGATCATTGCACTCTCTTCCTTACTTCAAGAAACGGAATTAACCCCTGAACAAAGGCTGATGGTGGAAACAATACTTAAAAGTAGTAACCTTTTGGCAACTTTGATGAATGATGTCTTGGATCTTTCAAGGTTAGAAGATGGAAGTCTTCAACTTGAACTCGGGACATTCAATCTTCATACTTTATTTAGAGAGGTAACACTAATATGTCAGAATTTTGAACAGCTCTATATATTTCAGAAGTTATAGTATTTGTGCACTTCATCGTTATATTTGAATATTGTTGCAGGTCCTCAATCTGATAAAGCCTATAGCGGTTGTTAAGAAATTACCTATCACACTAAATCTTGCACCTGATTTGCCAGAATTTGTCGTTGGGGATGAGAAACGGCTAATGCAGATAATATTAAATATAGTTGGTAATGCTGTGAAATTTTCCAAACAAGGTAGTATCTCCGTAACCGCTCTTGTCACCAAGTCAGACACTAGAGCTGCTGACTTTTTTGTCGTGCCAACTGGGAGTCATTTCTACTTGAGAGTGAAGGTTAGTATCTTTGGGACTTTAAACCATAGCTGGATATATTTCTCGGGTCTTAAATTTGACGATTATTCCAATATAGGTAAAAGACTCTGGGGCAGGAATAAATCCTCAAGACATTCCCAAGATTTTTACTAAATTTGCTCAAACACAATCTTTAGCGACGAGAAGTTCGGGAGGTAGTGGGCTTGGCCTTGCCATCTCCAAAAGGTTGAGCCTTTATTAGAGAATGCTTATTTTCTTTCTGATTTTTCTTATGTTCTGGTATTAATGAAAGTTTTGCTCTTATGCGTTTGATATGACAAGGTTTGTAAATCTGATGGAGGGTAACATTTGGATTGAGAGCGATGGTCTTGGAAAAGGATGCACTGCTATCTTTGATGTTAAACTCGGGATTTCAGACCGTTTAAAGGAATCTAAACAGTCAGGCATACCAAAAGTTCCAGCCATTCCCCGGCATGCAAATTTCACTGGACTTAAGGTTCTTGTCATGGACGAGAACGGGTTAGTATAAGCTTCTTGCCTTTCTCCTTGATAAAACCCTTGCCGTACTTGTTGCAAATGCAGAAATTGTCGATTATTTTGGTTGCAGAGTAAGTAGAATGGTGACAAAGGGACTTCTGGTACACCTTGGATGTGAAGTGACCATGGTGAGTTCAAACGAGGAGTGTCTCCGAGTTGTGTCCCACGAGCACAAAGTGGTCTTCATGGACGTGTGCCTGCCTGGGGTCGAAAACTACCAAATCGCCATCCGTATACACGAAAAATTCACAAAACTACGCCACCAACGGCCACTGCTCGTGGCACTCTCTGGTAACACAGACAAATCCACAAAGGAGAAATGCATGAGCTTTGGTCTAGACGGTGTTTTACTCAAACCCGTATCTCTAGATAACATGAGAGACGTTCTGTCTGATCTTCTCGAACGCCGGGTTCTCTACGAGGGCATGTGAAGGCATCGCCCCAGCCTGCAGAGGAGTAATTTTGCTCCCGGCTTATTTCTCCCGATAAACATCGAAAGCTGATGTTCTCTGGTTTAATGTGTACATATCAGAGACTGTGCGATCGCTTTTAGATGATATCTTAAAACAGAAAGGGAATAACCTAAACAGAAACCTCAAGGCCGGTCTGTATCATGGCGATTCCGGTTAAAGAGGAACAAGATGTTGGTGGTAAACTAATACCATTTATAATACATGTATGATTGATGTTGTATCCATATGTTAGTTATAATCTTATAAAGAGTTCGGATTGAGTCATGGACGCTTGTTGCGTGCGTGATTGTATGATATTGGTGCGGTGTCATGGCCATTGATTAAGATATGTAAAGGACATGGGTCAGTTAATTCATTCACATGGATTTAGAGTAGAGTGTCAAAATAAGATATCTCGCTCAACTCAGCTCTGTTCATGATCGATGAGCTTGAAATAGTTCAGTCTTTGTACAATGAGTCAATACCTTTGTATCGAGTTCTACTTGGTACACCAACATATGCATATTACAAAGACATTTATTGTTGGTTCTAATTTTCTTTTTCTGTATGCTTCTGCATTTGTAGTAGGAGGACGAACTGGGATGTCCATTCCATCAAGTGCTCCAATGCAGTTTTTTAAATAGGACCAGTATCGATCATCATTTTTCAGATTTGAGCTTACTCTTGTGAACTTTCCTCTTCTTGGTTTTATTGTATCCGCTGCAAACTTCACAAAAACGTTCAAAACTTCATGAAGTTTCCTCTTCATTGTATCCAATGATCTTTGATATCTGACAGCAGTATCTCTTATAGTTTTATCCTGACCAACCAAATCAAGAAACATCGCAACCCCTTCTTTAGTGTGAACATTGCAACCTCTGTTAGACCATATCGCGTAGTAAGCTTTCTGCATAATGCTTCAAATGTTCTTTGATTCATTCGCAAAATATCGTAACACTGTTGGTTTGATCCATGCATGAGGAGTTGAGCATGACACCATCTTGCACCTCGATATGATCTATGAATCAACCTCTCATTATTAAGCATTTCTAACAACTCAACATCATCATTGTCCTCCAACATCCATCTAAGTATCTGCAAGAAATCAAGTAGCCTATAAACAAAAAAATCAAGAAGCCAAAAACCAAATAAAAAACCATGTAGCCATAAACCAAGAATGAAATCTAAGACACGATCAACCAAAACTAATAACTTTATAAACATAACTATAAACAAGTTTCAAAAAGATAAAAGCAGAGTGAAACAAAAGACAAATTAACAAGTTCAATCATCAAGACTTATTGCAGTCCTATGCTCCAAATAACTAATCTTATCCTCAATACTAGGAAATGCAATGAAACCCTGTCGATTGGCGACATCAGCCAGAAGATTCAATTGAGGCTCTGTGGAAACGCGACCACTTCCTCACTCCAGACAACTCATTTAGAATCTCTACTACACGTACAACACTGTAGCTATCATCACACTCCAACAGGCTCTGTGGGATTTTTTTTTTTTAAAGATGATTTGGGATTTTAGAATTGATAGTTCTTTGAGATTTACAAAAATTAATGAGGGTACTTTAGTAATTACATTATTTTTTAAAACGCTGTCGCGGTGTTTTTAAAATCAGTCCCTACAAAAATTAACGACGGGAAATTACGATCGCTGTTGCTGTGACTGGTCGTTGAACGGTTGAACCAACGACAAACAAACGAACAACATTGTGTCTCGTTAGTTCTTGACTTGTCGCTAATTGTATTATTATCTCAAAGTTTGTCCAGTTAATCTAAGGATAAAACTATAGCTAGCAAATATTGTTCAAAGATTGGATAAAACGAAGATTAATTTCCACGTAGATTGCTTAACTTTACTCTATTCTTCTAAATCTCACATTGAGATTCAAGGTACTCGTCAAGCTATAAGAGACTTTTTTTTTTTTTGGAAAAAACATAAGAGATGACAACGTCTCATCAAATCTTTAGCTTCAAATCTCATCAAAAATAATGCAAACATTCAATAAATTCTTCGATTTAAGAATCCTAGACTCATGAAACGACGTTTTTACTCAATTTCGATGTCCTGTCATTACCATAGTGTCAGTTGACTTATTGCCGTTAAACGGTTAATTAACACCGTGTAGGCGTATGTTTGTTTTGGCTAATTTCATATAGTTTAGGTAGAAAATTTTGAATTTTTTCGGAGTTAGGTTGCTATTTGTCGGGTATCATAGTTTGGGTATAAAAACACCGCTATCAAATAGTTTGAGTTGATTTAGCAAGTTTCTTGTGAACATGAGTATACATATGCTTTTCTATTATTTTTTCCAAACAAATTCTTCAAAGTAACACCTCTGTATTTTGATTTCAGATGGATTTCTAATGTAGAATTGTGAAATCTCTTGTATTTAAAAAAGTTATGTTTTGAATAATCGTTGATTTGATATGGTTTTTACAAATTATCGATTGAATAAACCAAATATATTGAAATACAATATTTTTTTCATCGTCAAAATAGTTCAGATATTAAATATCCCAAGAAAATACATAAATGGATTATTTTTAGATTTTTTCCAAATAAAAATAGCTATTATTATTTTATCTTGCATTTTTAGAAATTACAATTACATTAGAAAATTTTTCATTACCTAGATAGTATAATTGCTTTATATTAAAGGTATAAGATTATTGAACTAAACTAAAAAATTTTGTCAAAAAAGAAAAAAAAAAAATCCCAAATTCGATATTAATGGAAAGAGTCTTGCCCACTATTAGTCTATTACAATGACCAGAGAATCGAAATAGAAAGAAAACGTACGGCATGGTTGGCTCACACTGGTCCACAAGTAACTCTTGTGGTTACAATTTACACTTTCCAATCCCATAATTCTACTTCTTTGTCTCCTTCCTTCTCCTCTAAAATACCTTAATCCTTCTTTGGATTACTCTTCTTCTTCATCTCTTCCCCACAAGGTTCGTCTCTCTCTCTGACTCTGTGTTCATCACTGTTTCACCTCTCCAATTCCCAATTTTTCTTACATGGGTTTGTCTTAAATTTCAAGTGTTTTGAGTTCGATTCAATTGGTAAAGCTCTCCTTTGTGAGAAAAATTGTCTCTTTCTTGATGGGTTTGGTTTCAGATTCAAGATTTTATGAGTTTGATGCAATTGGGTATCTCTCCTTGGTGAGAAAAATTGTCTCTTTCTTGATGGGTTTGTTTTAAGATTCAAGATTTTTGAGTTTGATGCAATTGGGTATCTCTCCTTTTGTGATAAAAATTGCATCTTGATGTCTTCATAGAGTCGAATTAGTTTCAAAGGTCCTAACTTTATTACTTAGGATTTATAAATTTGATGTCTTTGTAGGTTGTTATCCAATGGCTCTTAACGTGAGCAAAGTGGTACCAAACAGTCCAGGTATAGGGAAGAGTGTTAGTGCGTCAAGATCTCAAAGAGTTTTGTTGGCGTTTGTTCATCATCCTCTAGTTGGTAAAAAGGGTTTATCTGTTGAAGAGTTAAAGCAAGGTCTTTGTTGTACAAAGACTGTTACTTTTGTTAGTTCTCGGAGATCTTCTACATTGTGCTTTGTTGGGAAATCCCAAGATACGGAAACAAAGTAAGCCCTTTTGATTCTCTTAGCTTCTATAGGTGAAAACTTGTCTGTTTCACTGGTTTTGTTATGGATAGTTATTTATGAGTTTCTTGGTGGTGTGTTAGTTCTCAAGTTGTACAAAAAGAAGGTGAGAAGCAAGTGGTGCCGAGGAGGAAAAGAAGTAACTCAAGCCAAGTTTTAGTTGATTATGTGTCCAATGATGCTAAGTTTGTGAATGAAAGAGCTCGTAGTGACTTTGTTCTTCTATCTCGGTATTATTTCTCATTTCCAAACGTTTTACAATTATACATTACTTAAGGCCAGTGTTGTTGAGATTTATGTTCCAATGCTTTGTCAGTGGCATTATGAGACTTGATGCTCGTGCACGCCAGGATGTAGCGATTCTTGGGTCTGGGTTCCTTAAACTGGATGGTGAGATATGGCTCTCTTTCACACTTACATATTATGTGTTTCTTTGTTCGTGTAATACGTTATAATCCTGTCTTGTTGGTTTATCATGTAGCTCGGGCAAGAGAAGATACAGAAAAGATAGATCGTGATGTTAAAAGAAAGGCTGAACGCCTTCATCATATTGCTACTGTATGCTTATCCTGTCATTTATAGATGCACATATTTTCACCTTTCTTCTGGCTATGTTTTCTCTTACTTTTCTTGTTTGGTTTATGTCCATAGATATTAAAAAACATAGCCGAGTCTAAGTTGAAAAATGCTGCTGATAAGCATTGGAGTGATGGCGCCTTAGAGGTATAATCATTAATCACTATGCGAGCGGTCTGAGTATGACCTGATAAAAGTAACTACTCAATGTATTGGTTTGAACTTGTGGTTTAGAGATTTACCCTGATTTTTCCAGGCTGATTTAAGGCGTGCAGATTTCCGTGCTAAACAACGGGCAATGGAGGATGCATTAATGGCTTTAGAGGTAATATCAAAGTCTTATATGTCTCATTTTGATGTTTTGATTCATCTTCCCGTATTGACACTTCATGTGTTCTGTTTTGGTCCAGTTCATCAAGAATGTTCATGACCAGATGGTGAACAAAATGGTTGACAGCTTGTAAGATACATCCTTGACACTGTATATTTATTGTGTGGTTTCTTGATATCAAGATCTGAAATTAGGATTTTCTTTTGAATCTTAGAGGGGTTACATCTGAAACTGGTACCACGGATCGTATATCACTGGAGAAAAATGGAAAAGCGCTCGAGTTTTTCCCAGGGGAAGTTTCATCTGATCGCATATCTGCTATTGAGGTCTGATACACTGGTGAAAGCACTGTGTTCTATAATGTTCTTCTCTCTGATGATTTCTTTTTGATATTGAAACAGGAAGCTTACAAGAGTATGGCATCAGCACTCTCAGAAGCTGATGGAATTGACTACACTGACCCTGAAGAGGTTGGTCCATAATTGTCAATACCGAAGTTTTTTCTTGTCATTCTTTTTCTTAGTTCTAGTAATCCTACTTTTTCATAAATGATCATATTATTTTGGTTTGAACAGCTCGAGTTGTTAGTCACGACTTTGATCGACCTTGATGCGATGGATGGTAAAAGTAGTGCATCACTCTTGGCTGAATGCTCAAGCTCTCCAGACGTCAATACAAGGTAAAACCAGTATTCTATTATGTCTGTTAACAACTTTCTTATGTGAGTTCTTTGCTTTTAGAAGAAACATAACGTTCTTTTTACCTTCTGCTATAATGCGAACAATCTATGTTGTGCGGTTCTGCAATTACTTGATATGGAAAAGCCAATACTGAATAGCATATTAGCATTTGACATTATCTTCTGGTCTGTATATGTTTTGGTCTTCATCGTTTGGTCATTTTCTGACTCGGGATTTCTCTGTTTTTGTCTCTGTTCTTGTTGTAGAAAAGCGTTGGCTAATGCCTTAGCAGCTGCACCATCCATGTGGACATTAGGAAATGCAGGCATGGGAGCATTACAGGTAAAGTTTTAAAAAGCAAATCTTGATGACTGTTTTTGCAAATTGGACTTTGAACAATATTAAACACCCATCAATGAACCTTTCTGCAGAGACTCGCTGAAGACAGTAACCCGTCGATAGCAGCAGCTGCTTCAAGAGCGATCATTGCACTGAAGAAGCAATGGGAAGTAGAGGAAGGAGACTCACTTAGGTTTATGATGAACTTCGAGACACCAAATGACGATGATGATGGAGACAGTGACCATGATGACATCTAAAAAAATGAAGTTTGTATAGATAATTTGCAATGAAGGTTAGTGTTACAGAGTCAAGACAATGTTACTAGGGACTTCGTTGGGGTCATGTAATTAAAAGAGGCCAGTTTAGTATTTGTTGTTGGATATGGTCATATTCATATATAACCTTTGTACCTTAAATTGTATCAAACTATTATGTGTTTTGTTTTACCTTCCACATAAATAATAACATGGGATAACAAGAATGAGAGTTTTGCACTAATTAACACTTTGAGCAATTATGTAAATTGGGGTGAAAACAAGAATAGTTAAGTAATGAATGACATAATTCACTATGATGTAGAATTCGGTACTAGCTAAAAAGGAATCACTATTTAAAAACTACATTAGGTTTGAGTATATCTCATACAAAATAGCGTGTTCAACCTTATATCACTCGTAACTCTCACTATTTTGCACGAGATATACTCAAAGCTCTCGTAGTTTTTAAATAGTTATTGTTTTTAGTATTCTATGATTTAAAATAGTAATTTGGAGAAAATTTTAAATATTTATGATAAATATTTTAAATGTGATTGAACAAAATATTGCGATTGCTCTCCGGTTTACTGAATTCTACATAATGGTGAACCACACTAACTTGCAGTGGAGTGACAAAATACATCTATTTTCGTCGGTGTTTTTAAATAACAAGATTAGTTAAATAAACCACTACTATATTAAAAATATAAATTTGATACTTATTAAATAATGTAATTAAACATAAGAAAATAACATAGTTTGGCAAAACAATTTGCAACTCGTAAAAAATAATCAATAAATTTTTGACGATTTCGAGGTTCATGTACGTAATTATTTTTTAAACATAACTATCATATGAAGCTTAAGCTATCAAAATAATTTTAACTGTTTAGATTTTTAAAAATTATATTTTTTTTTGTATACAAACTTTTGTGTTAAAAAATTTAATAGAGTATTTTTGCAAATAAACAACAAAAGAGGGTACTTTTGCAAAAAAATAAACAAAAATAGTAGTTTTTCAAATTCCCCTTTTTGAAAACAGTTTCAGAAAAAGGTATTTTTGAAATTTCGCATGTACGTTTTTATAACAAATTAGAATAATTTAGATATATAAAATCAATACACAATATCTTATCTTATACTTGATTAATTAGACTAATGTATGTGTAAGGTTAGATTGATTTTGGTGAAATTTATTCTTAATTAAAAACATTATTCAAACGAATATTTCATATTAATTAATTCTCTCAAATTTAAAATAAATTGTAACTAAGACTATCAATTTATTTTAATGATATAAATATTTGGGAGATTTGCAAAAATACACTCTCTTGTTGTCTATTTTCAAAAATACCCCTTTACTAAATACAAAATGACTAAATTCTATATCTAAAACTCCAAATACTAAATCTTATCCCCTCAGAACTATACCCTTAATGAAAATTAGAGAACCCAAACCTAAAAGAAAATTCTAAAAATTAATTTAACATATTGTAATTATGTTAAAGAGGGTAAAAATGAAGATGGCAAAATGGTATTTTTGTATAACGATATTAAGGAAAGAACATTAGTCAAAATTTCTCTTTCAAACTTTATCAAAGAAACCACTAAAAATTTTAAATTTTATCCAAATATGTGTAACTTATAAAAATGTATAAATTACCTTTATATAAATGTTAAATTTTATATATATATTATGAGTACCGTATAAATACATTTTAAAAAACTTCTGAAACTTTTAAAAACCTTGTAAACATTTCTCAGAAGTTATAAAAACCTTTTAAAACTTTATAAAATATTTAGATCAAGTACCTTATAAACTATATAAAAACTAATAATTTTTTATATTTTAAAAAGGGTATTTTAAAAAGTAGATAGATGAACATGTATTTTTGAGAAATGACAAACCCAATTTAATCATTACACACAAAACGCTTTTTGTGATTCTTGGATGTAATTTATGGTATATGAAATATATTTACCCAATTCAAGTATTCTTTATGAGTTAATATTAAATCCAACATTTATATATATTTACGTACCAATTGGTGTTGGAAATATTGTTAATCTAGCTTAATTCATCTTAATCTAGCTGAGTTTTGTGTTTTTGTTGAATGGCATGAATTTAATTATATGTTGAAAGTTGAAACCTTTTCGGACATAAAATGATAACGGAAAAATTAGTTAACCTGAAAGCGGAATACGACAAATCTAATTGAATACAACAGATTACAATTATTTGGTGCGCAAAGCTCGCTCCTGTCCGCAGAGTTTTAAACAAGTTTGCTTGGATTCTTCTAATTTGGCTCTATTCGGCCGATTGTAATTTTTTTGTTGACAAAAAAAAAATTGAATACGACAGATCTACTTGAATATGACGGAATTCATACAGATTCTGTTATTCTGCTAGATTCTAAAGATCTGTCACTACCGCTTGTTACTAAAAAAATTCTGTCATATTCAATTAGATTCAACAATTTAGCACAAAAACTGTCATATTGACTTGAATAAAGTTATATATTAAATCATTACTTCAAATTAAAATATGTAATAAAAATATATTTATTTTAGATAAATATCGGATTATAACGGATATAATGATTCAAATGAAAGATATTTTAAAAAGAAATTACAATAGACATAATTTTAATTTAAAAAGATCGGTCAAATATAATTGGCCATGTATGGATAATTCGAATAAAAATAAAAAGAACTATTAGATATTGGTAAAGATCATACCATACTTGTAACTCTTGTAATTACAAACTGTTTTGAATGTTCTTAAGAAATATTACAAAATCATAAATAAATAAATCTTTATAGAAATATTACTTTGAGAAACCTTCTAAAATTTCGGTATGTTAACTTTTAAATAAAACAAAATTTTCAGTTTGTCCAAAAAAAATAAAAATTCTTTTAGGCTTTTATATGATTACAAGTTTCCAAGTTTTTTTTCTAAAACTAAAGCAACTGATAAAATAATATGTTCAATTAATAAAGTTATCTAATATATCAATTCTTAATAAAATATTATCAAGTAAATTAATTTTAATTAAATTATTAAATATAGTCATTAAAACTCTGACAAAATTATAATGTGCTAAGTTGACCACAAAACTTATAACGTATGAAGTTTTAAAAAGTTAACATCTCAGTTTTTCTCCGTCAATCATTCTTGAAACGCCGTCATATGTTTCATTCTTGACCACACCAACTCATTGCCGACGAAGGAGATTGTGCCGCTGAAGCCATGGATGAAGAGGGAAGGCAACGAGTTCGGGCCAACGCATCTGGTGGTGAAGTTGATTGGCTAAGAACTTTGCCAGAAGCTTTGCAATGGCATGTTCTCTTGAATCTTCCGACAAAAGATGTGGTCAAGACTAGTCTCGTATACAGCAAATGGAGACATCTCTGGAGGTATGTTCCTGGTCTGGACCTGGACTGTCGTAATTTCAAGGAGTACAATGATGTTGTGAGCTTTATCGATAAGTTCTTGAGTTTTAATAGTGAGTCGTCCCTAAAAAAGTTTAAGTTAAGGTATAATTGTGTTCTTGATCGGCAAGTGACTAAGGAAACCAAGACGGCTAATCTCATGCGATGGATCAACAATGTTGTTGACCGGAAAGTTCAGCATCTTGATGTTTGGTGGGGTGAAGTGGATATGCCTCCAACACTTTACAAGTGTGAGAGCTTGGTTTCTTTAAAGCTGGCTGATGCAATATTGCCTAATCTTGAGTCTGTGTCTTTACCGTCTGTCAAAGTTCTTGATCTTGTTTTTGTTAAGTTTGCCAACGATTTGGCTTTCGAAAGGCTCATCTCAGGCTGCATAGTTCTGGAAAGCCTAACTTTACATAGAAATGAGAATGACAATGTAATTGTCTTAAATGTGAGCTCAAAGTCGCTGCTGAGCTTCTGCTATAATGGCTCCACTAAGAAGGGTCCTCATGATGATCTAGTGGTGTCAATTGACACTCCCAAGCTTGAGGAGCTCCAGCTCTCTGATCATTTAACTGCCAGTTTCATTATAGCTAATCTGAGCTCCCTTGTAGAGGCGGATATCGATGTTCAGTTTAACTTTTGTTTCGGCAAAAAGTTTGACCCATTGGATCTACCAAAGGGAAAGATGATTAGCAACTTTCTTGTTGGGATATCTAATGCAAAAAATATGATCATGTCTCCTACAACTCTTGAGGTAACTTATATTGAATTCGTTATTTTAGTGTTCATCTATATGTTTCTCCTGAAACTTTTTGTGTGTGTGTGGTTGTTTAGGTCATTTATGATGCTTCAAGATGTGAACCACTGCCCTTGTTTGCAAACTTATCTTCCTTGAGTGTTCACTTTGACGACAACAATTGGGAGATTTTGCCAAACTTTATGGAGAGCTGCCCGAATCTAAGTTATCTTGTCGTGGTAAGGATTGTTTTCTTAAACTTAGGTACTTTCTTTGGCATAATTACTCAAACTTGTTTCTTTCACTTGGTTGTAATGTTAGGAATCTACTACATTTTCAAAGGAGGGAGCTAGTATTGTGACTGGACCTTGGTGTCGCCTATCATCTCTAGAGTATGTTGAGATAATATCGCCATTTGAAGGGGACGCGATAGAGATGAAATTTGTGAGTTACTTACTTGAGAACTCACCATGCCTCAAGAAACTCACTCTATCTTTGGAGAAATATGCTGGTAAGGAATCTTCCATCCTCAGAGAACTCCTTAACATTCCAAGGTGCTCTAGCTCATGCCAAGTTGTTTTCATCTGATCCTCGAGGGTCATACAAGGTTGCCTTTATGTACTTTTATTAATGTGAACTCTGTGTTGAGTTTCTTCTTTATTGTTGTGACTTTGATGTGTTGTTATAGCTCGTAAGAATTTATTGTGGTGACTTTGATGTGTTGTTGGAGATCTTAAGTGTTTTAACTGAACCAAAAATGGAATGAGGTTTATGTAAGACTCAAGTATTGATAAAGGTTATAAAAACTCGTTACAAGTACATTTTATCTGGTTAGATGAAACTAAACTATAAACTCCGTGTAGGCTCTTTCTTAATCTGATGAATATTTAATTATGAGTCCAAATTTGTTTATCACAATCTGCATCACTAATTGAAGCAGTTTTGTGATGATCAAGGCCACATATGGAGAGAGCAATTTGGAAACATAGGGTTAGGGTTCTTTATAGTGTTTCTTGGCAACCTCTTCTTTTTTCAATTTTTTTTTTTGTGTGCAAACCACAACCTCTTAGAGGACTCGAGAAACCTCTTCTAGGATTTATTCACATAAATTAGGTGGTCCATTGGCAACAACGCACAAAAACTTATATATAATATCACACTCAAAATATATCACATGTTTAAAGCTTTTCTATTTAGTGAGGAAAATATATTTAGTATCTACGAAGAGAACTGGAAATTTTACAGCCAGGCCATATCACATGTTTACGCTTTTCTATATATTATAATAATTACATGTTTAAGCTTTAGTATCTTTTTTTTTTTACATCGTTTAAGCTTTAGTATCTAAACCCAAAATACTTTAATAATTAAGTTATAATGTCGTCTTTAAAAATGTTTTTTTTTTAATAGCTCTATTTAAGAGGCTTGTTTAAAATAGGACATAGGGTTTCAAGAGTGACTGGTGTACACTGATATCTTTTAAAAAAAAAACATGGTCGAGGAAAATATGTATGCAATTTATCATGTCAATTCCGTATCTAAAAACATTATGTCATATTCGGCATAATTTAGTTTTCCCAACACCAACCAAGAAACAACTAGTTTCAACAGTTAAAGAACGCCCAATTTGTTTCGAAAAATATATTCAGTAAAATTCAGTAAATTCAGTAAAAAAATACATTTATGATATCAAAAGATACACATTACACACATCTAAATGTTTATCTTTATATAGGTCAGATAAAATTGGCAAGATATTAAGTATTAAAAATAAAAATAAAAAAGAAATTTTTAAATATTTTGTGGAAATATTAAAAAATTTAAAAATATATATTGTTTATGACTTTTTATGATAACAGGAAACATTTGTTCCAAGTTATGCTTTCAACCAAAAAATACAGAAGTTCAATAAAAAAAATTGTTAAGTTAATAATATTATTGAATATATGAATTTCCTACTAAAATCCACCTTTAATTATTTTGTTGACCAAAAGTTAACGACGTTTGTTTCTCACTCATCATTCTTGTGACGCCGTTAAGGCATGTACTGTTAGGTTTAGGTCTAATAGAGTTATTTATATGTTTTGACATGATTCTATACGTTTGTACTCAATTTTTTTGTTTTTGTTGTGAATTGTTGTTTATAGGCCATTTATGATGCATCGAGATGTGAAGCATTGCCCGTATTTCGTAATCTATCTTCCCTGGCTGTTGCCTTCCACGACATCAGTCGGGAAATACTACCAATCTTTCTAGAGAGCTGCCCGAATCTAAGCTCTCTTGTCGTGGTAAGGATTGTTTACTTTAAAACTTATTTACTTTCTTTGGTATGATGCAAATGGGGAAAGTATCATAATTACTCAAACTTGTTTCGTTCACTTGGTTGTACTATCAGGTCTATAATTCATTCCCGGAGGAGATAAGTAGTATTTTCACTGGACCTCGGCGTCCCCTATCATCTCTCGAGTATGTTAAGCTAGAATGGCCATTGGAAGGGGACGAGATAGAGATGAAATTTTTGAGTTACTTACTTGAGAACTCACCAATCCTCAAGAAACTCACTCTTAGTTTCAGTGAAATTTCCATGAAGGAATTTGTTTTCCTCAGAGAACTCCTAAAGATTCCAAGGCGCTCTAGCTCATGCCAAGTCATTGTCCTCGATCCACCATCAAGAATCCAGATCAGAGCATAGAGAGGGAGCTAGGTTAAACCATGGATCAGAAATATGTGGAGAGTCTCTACTTGACTTGATCATGAAAGTATGTGGAGAGTCTATGTTGAGAGAAATAAGGGGTGTATTCAAAGCATGATTTAATGTGATTTGAAGTTTTTATATGATTTTGTTGATTTTAGGGGAGTTTATCAAATCCTTTCAAATCTCACTTAAAATCATGAGTTTGGATTTCTACATTTTTATCTAAAGAAATCATGTAAAACCCTTTTAAATCCTTCAAATCATAAACATTCAATTCAACAAACTATTTTCAATAACAATAGATTTTCAAATAATAACGGCATAATTAATTGATCTAACTGCGGAATTAAATAATCATATTGAATACGACAAATCTACTTGAGTACGACATATTTTTATTTGTACGAGATTCATGTAGTTTCTAGCTACATGTATGCTAGATTCTAAAGATCTGTTAGTACTATTTGTTATCTAAACATTTCCCCATATTCAATTAGATTCAACTATCGAGCACACAAAAAACCTGTCATACGAACTTGAATTAAGTTATATATTAAATCATTCTTCCAGCACAAACTTATAAATAAGTACGTTTATTTCAAATAAATGGTCAGATTATAGCGGATATATGAGTATAGTAAAGAGAAATTTAAATATTTTAAGACAAAAACAATGGTCACAATGGGGTTTTAATAAATCGGTCGGATATAATTGGCAACGTATGGATAATTCGAATAAAACAAAAACACTATTTGAATTGGTATGCATCGTACCATACTGTAACTCTTGTAACTACAAACTAGTTTTGATATTTTGAAGAAATATTACAACAACAAAAAATGAATCTTTATAGAGATAATAGTTTGAGAAACCTTTGATAATTTCGGTATGAGAATTTAAATACTTCATTAGTTTAAATATATGTCATTAAAATAATTTTGTTTGGTATGGTTTTAACTAGAATATTTTTAAATAAAAAAAACTTTCTCATTCAAAAAAAAACTTTCTCTTTAGGTTTTTATATGATTACAATTTACCAAGATTTTTTTCTAAAAATAAGGCAATTGCTAAAATAATATTTCTCTAATTAGTAAAGTTATCAAATAAATTAATTCTTAATAAAATTATTAAATAAGATTATTCTTAATAAAATTACTAATATGCTAAGTTGACCACAAAAATTTGACAGCCGTTTTCTTTATCTGTCATCATTCTTACGTTTCATTCTTGACCACACCATTCTTGGCATTGCCGCTTCTTAGATCGAACGAGTTCGTGCGGCTTCTACACAAAGCCATGGATGAAGAGAGAAGGAAACGAGTTCGGGCCAACGCATCTGGTGGGGAAGTTGATTGGCTAAGAAATTTGCCAGAAGCTTTGCAATGGCATGTTCTCTTGAATCTTCCGACAAAAGATGTGGTCAAGACAAGTATCATATACAGCAAATGGAGACATCTCTGGAGGTATGTTCCTGGTCTGGACCTGGACTGTCGTAATTTCAAGGAGTACAATGTTGTTGTGAGCTTTATCGATAAGTTCTTGAGTTTTAATAGTGAATCGGCCCTAAAAAAGTTTAAGTTAAGGTATAATTGTGTTCTTGATCGGCAAGTGACTAAGGAAACCAAGACGGCTAATCTCATGCGGTGGATCAACGATGTTGTTAACCGGAAAGTTCAGCATCTTGATGTTTGGTGGGGTGAAGTGGATATGCCTCCAACACTTTACAAGTGTGAGAGCTTGGTTTCTTTAAAGCTTGCTTATGCAATATTGCCTAATCCTGAGTCTGTGTCTTTACCGTCTGTCAAAGTTCTTGATCTCCTTTTTGTTAAGTTTGCCAACGATTTGGCTTTCGAAAGGCTCATCTCAGGCTGCATTTGCTTGGAAACCTTGACTTTAGACAGAAGCCAAAATGACAATGTTAGAGTCTTACAAGTGAGCTCTAAGTCGCTGCTGAGCTTCCGCTATAATGGCTCCATTACGAAGGGTCCTCATGATGATCTAGTTGTGTCAATTGATACTCCCAAGCTTGAGGAACTCCAGATCTCTGATCATTTAACTGCCAGTTTCATTATAGCTGATCTGAGCTCCCTTGTAGAGGCGGATATCGATGTTCAATTTAACTTTTGTTTCGGCAAAAAGTTTAACCCATTGGATCTACCAAAGGGAAAGATGATTAACAACTTTCTTGTTGGGATATCTAATGCAAAAAAGATGATCATATCTCCAACAACTCTTGAGGTAACTTATATTAAATTCGTTATTTTAGTGTTTATCTATATGTTTCTTCTGAAAATTTTTTTGTGTGTGTGGTTGTTTAGGTCATTTATGATTCTTCAAGATGTAAACCACTGCCCTTGTTTGCTAACTTATCTTCGTTGAGTGTCCACTTTGACGACGACAGTTGGGAAAGTTTGCCATAATTTATGGAGAGCTGCCCGAATCTAAGTTCTCTTGTCGTGGTAAGGATTGTTTTCTTAAACGTAGGTACTTTCTTACGCATAATGCAAATGGGGAAAGTATCATAATTACTCAAACTAGTTTCTTTCACTTGGTTGTAATGTCAGGAATCTGCTACATTTTCAAAGGAGGGAGCTAGTATTGTGACTGGACCTTGGCGTCTCCTATCATCTCTGGAGTATGTTGAGATAGAATCGCCTTTGGAAGGGGACAAGATAGAGATGGAATTTGTTAGATACTTACTTGAGAACTCACCAATCCTCAAGAAAGTCACTCTATATTTGGAGAAATATTCCAGGAAGAAATCTTTCATCCTCATAGAACTCCTTAAGATTCGAAGGTGCTCTACCTCATGCGAAGTCGTTGTCATGTGATCCTCGTCGAGGGACATATACAAGGTTGCCTTTATGTACTTTTATATGTGTACTCTCTTTTTGTTCTCTTCTTTCTTGTGGTGACTTTGATATGTTGTTGTGGTTCGTAAGAATTTATTGTGGTGACTTTGATTTGGTGTGGTAGATCGTAAGAAATATTATATGTTTGTCTTAATTGAACCAAAAATGGATTAAGATTATGGTTAGACTCAAGGTGTATGGTTAGATGAAAATGAAACTAAACTATATATGTATACATGAATGATGAGTGACTACTTCTAGGCTTTATCATTTAATTATAAAGATGTTAAAATTTGTTGCCAGCCCTAGTCAGAAGTTAGAACCTGTGTCGTTGAAGAGATAGATATTTTATGGATCCGAGTATTGAATTATGTGTCCAAAGTTGTCTATCACAATCTGCCACACCTAATTGAAGCCAACGCTTGAGATGATCAAGGCGATAAAGAGAGAGAGAGAGAGAGAGAGAGAGAGCAATTTGGAAACATATTATCTATTAGGGTTAGGGTTCTTCGAAAAACAATAGAAAAACAAAAAATCAAGATCTAGGTCTTAGGGTTAGGGTTCTTTAGAGAGTTTCTTGGCTATCTGATATATGTAGCTCAGTGGAATCTGGAAACCTCTTTAGCTAACTTCTTCTAAGATTAAGCACATACTTATGGGTGAGACCAAGAGTCTAGTGATGAAAATTAGGCAACTGATTATTTACAGCCAGGCCATATATATTACACAGTTTACACTCAAGGGGCCTTTTTAACAAAAATAATAATAATAATAATAATTAAATGTTTTTGGTTTTAATAAAGGCCCAATTATTTAGCACTTTTAGTAGCTAGATTTTAAGGTCGTCTATAAAAAATGCTTTTTCAATAGCTTTATTTATGGGTCATTTTTCTAATGAAACAACTGGTCTCACCAATGATTGAGTCTGGCTTGTTTAATATTGGCCATAGAGTTTCAAGAGAGATTGTTGTACATGCAACCTCAAGATGGAGAGACCTAAGTTACTTTAATCTTGCAATAGATATTAAGTTACTCGAAGAAGTGGTTCTGTGATCGAGAGCGTTGACAAACTGATATTTACTTGCAAAACTCAAATATATTCCACGAATCTGCTAAATGTTTGACAAGAAGATAAAAAAAATCACACGAAACTTCAGAACTTACACTAAAAAGATCTTTTAATTAAATGAACCAAAGGTTTACTATTTGTACAAAAGTAAATAAAATTATACTTACATTTTCCTTATATTTTACATAAAATTTTCTTTCGTATTCCTATCTTGATCTAAATTCCTTACAAAAACGGATATATTATATCTTGCTATCAACATTTATTCGATCTTGATTTGAAAAACAAAAAAGAAACAAAAACAAAATATATATATATATCACAATATTGAAAGAAAAGAGCATAGTAATCGTCTATGTGAGATTTTGCTTTCACCCTTATTGATTCGTAAGAAAAAAAGATGAAACTATTTCAGTAAAATATATTTCACACTTTTCTGCTTTACTACACTGCTTTCTTGTGATGTAGGCTGCAACGTTTGAAGCTACGGGAGCTACAATGACGTAGCTCCAGCTGCTTTATTTATGTCTTTAATTAGTTGATATCCAATTCCATAACCATCTATAGATTGCCCTAACGACTTAAGAGTGAGCAATTACTCGCACTCATAAACCCATATCCAAACCCAACCCGATATAAACAGTACTTTGGGTTCGGTATGAATCATATCAAATATCCGACTGAATATTTATGATAAATGAATTGGGTATCTAAACCCAAATGGAGTTACCAGAATACCCGAATAAATACCCGAAACCATCCAAAGTTTTATAATCTTTGTTAGAATCTTTGTACAGTATTGAGTCTTACCTTTCTTCTAAGTTCTAAATCATATCTTGATTCTCATTACATGGTATGTCTCTACTTTTATTTTCGTATCTGTCAATTTTCTTAGTTTAAATAAACTATGTGATTCTAACTTTGAATTTGGTGTCATTTGATGTTTTAGGAACTCAAGAGTTCAAGAATTATCGGTTTATCAACTTGTTGTTTTTGTATTCGGAATTTTTTTCATGGATTCAATTTAGTTTGATAATATTAATTAGCTTTTTTAATATTGATGATTACGTACAATCAGTTTATTTAGCTTGGTACTTTTGTTACAATCATTTATCATAACGTTATAGATTGATTTCAATTTTTATTGTGAATTTCGGGTTTAAGGTTTCTTTAACTTTGGTTCGAATTTTAAAATTACAAATCCGATTCGAACCCAAAAATTATTTTGAAGCTTTGGGTATAATCTGAAAACACTCTAACTCGATACCTATTTACTCGAATCCGACTCAAAATCTAAATATACTCAAATGGCCGGGTGTTATTTCTCCATATCCGAAAAACCTAGAACTACTCGATCCGAACCCGAATGGGTACCCGAGCGACCCACCCCTAACATCACCCGAAGTTACAAAAAATATCTTTATTGATCTTTTGTTACGAAACGTGTATGTTATACTTATACATATCCTAATTGATCCTTTTTGTTTGTTTTTGGTAGAAAGGTCAACATTGGCGTCTGCATCGTCGTCTTGCATTTTCCTAATAATAAGACCGAACTTTCACACAAACCTCTCTGAGTCTTTGTCTCTCGCCCCATTACTAAATAACCAAACAAACTTCTTCCTCCTTCACTAAACTTAGTAGACATGACCACCAACGACGATAACCCTATTCTAACATACGTCATAAAGACAATAATAATCATCTTCTTCGCCGTCATTTTAGTGGTTCTCCTCCATCTCTTCGCCCGTTGGTATCTCCGCCGTGCTCGTACACGTCATCTCCGCCTTCGTAGTCGTAATCGCCGCCGCGCTATTATGGCTTTCTTCACAGCTGATGCTTCCACTTCACGTGGACTTGATCCGAATGTCATAAAATCACTCCCTATTTTTATTTTTTCAGACAAGACACATAAAGATCCTATCGAATGCGCAGTTTGTTTGTCAGAGTTCGAACATAACGAGTCTGGTCGGGTTTTGCCTAACTGTAAACATACGTTTCATGTTGATTGTATTGACATGTGGTTCCATTCTCATCTCACTTGTCCTATTTGTCGATCTCTCGTTGAACCTCTCGCCGGAATTGAATTAACGGCGGCGGCGGCGGAGGAGCAAGTTGTGATTGAGATCGATTCTGACCCGGTTTTGGTAATTGAACCGGGTTCGAGCTCACCAAATGGGTCTGGATCTTCTCCGACGCCGACGGATGATTCCGGGAGGAAACCGGCGGAGGTTGAGATTCCGAGGAGGAACTTCAGCGAGATAGAAGACGAGTTGACTCGGAGAGACTCGCCGGTGAGTCGGATGTTATCTTTCAGTAGGATGTTGAGTAGAGATAGAAGAAACGCTTCGTCTCCTATCGCCGGAGCTACGCCGCGGGGAGTAGAGGAGACTCGGTGACTTGCCACGTGGTAGCGTGCGATTGGCTTCCAGCGAATCAATATCAACCGTCTATATATATGATTAGATTAGATTAGATAGGATTGTGTTTGACGATGTACAAAGTCAAGTCGTCTCCACGTATTGAATACAAATTTTACATTTTAATACCACCAATTCAATTCAATGGTCATATAATTTTATAATTGTCATTAGAGACTTTTCAAATTAATAGTAAGCATCGTTTTTCTTATATAGCGTTTTAATTTTAATATTAGTGGCTATATATAGTATCGTAACTTAAATAATTTGTGTCTTCTTTTACTAAATTGCTTTAATTATAGCCACAAATATTAAGATGCATTCATAACTATAAATGTGGCTATAGAAATCTTTTTTACTAATAATAAACATCTCTTATATATATATTAGCACAAATTAGTTTCTTATACATCTTTGGTTAATAAGTCCCAACAAATCTAGATTATAGTATTCAAATATTTATTTTATTTCATTTTAAGTGATGTTTTAAGGTTTTTACACATAGATTAAGAAAACATATAATTTACATATATTCATGAAAACATCATTAACTAAAATGAATTCAATTAATGAGAAAATATGATGTAAAATATAAGTGGTCGAAATATAGTAAATTATTTAAGTTTTGTTTTAAAAATAAAAAATCACTTAAAATGAAACAACTATTTTTGGTTAAAACATCGTTTAAACTGAAACGCATGTTATCCTATTACAAGCTCGTGTTTTGATTCACCACTTAACATCATCAGATTCGAATATGACATGTTTGAGCACACACTGCCTATTATAATCCAAGGCCGCTAAAACCATTATTATAGCATTGCATTTAAGATTTCTTCTTGGAGGAGGAGACGCCTTGATAAAAGTTTTGTATCGAGTTTTATAATTTTCTTACAAATTTAATTAGTTTTTTAGTATATTGAGGTCGTCCACAATCACACTGAAATGCAAAACTCACAAAGTTAGTTAAGAATAATATTACCAAAGTAATAACGAGTAATACTACAACTTTAATGGAACTTGTCAAGTCATATTTACCAAAATATTGTATTCAAAAGTCTAAAGTTTTGTATTTAAATCTATCCAAACTATTCGAAAATATCCTAAATATCTAAGAGCTATGACTATTTTTAATTTACCAAAACATATTCATAAGTAGTTGATATACATAAAAAGATTTTAAAAATGAAAACTCGAAATATTTTAGGCACCTAAGTTATTACAAATAATGAATATTACTAATATATTATTACTATGTACGTATGTTTTGGATATGTCGGATATTATGCCCAAGCCTACCATGGACCATGAGAAACTGGGAGGTTTTGAGGAGATGATGAAATATATTGTAGGGACAAAGTCGTGTAAGGTTAATGTAGACACAATGTCCTTGGACCTTGAGGAGATGACATGCGAAGAAGGGACAACGTCGCAGGCTAATGTGTAACAAGAGAGGTGTCTCACTAGTCGAAAACTTTCCGGAAGAAGAGATCAACTCCTCTCATATATTGTGTCTAACCACGAAGCCTAGTAGTCAGGTAAACTTATTTGGCCTAATAATGGCAGACTCTTGGTTCCACCACCACCAATATACTGCTTATCATGCCACCGCCGCATTGGTAACAAAGGTTGTCTTAGTTACTCCTTAAGTCTTGAGCGAATTAGAAATACTGAATGTTCATTTTATTATTTTCTCCTCTCATGAATCCTTAATATTACAACATTCCCCACTCTTTAGTTGGAAACTTAATATTACAATACAAACCATTTATCTCATAACACTTCATTGTAAGGTGTTTGTAATTAAGGTTCATTAAATCTTAAAATTTGGAGATAGACCCTTAACTGGCAGTCAAAGTCACCACAATAAACCACAGAGTCACATTATGTAACATGAATATAAATGTGTTAAGATTGAGTTATGCTCATAACTCAAAACTGTTACCAATCATGATTGTTTTTAAAATGACTAACACGTTTTCAAACTTAACTAATATAATGATGGTTAATGGGAGTTGAAGTGTACTTACGATCTCACTGGAGTTGCTTACCAAGACTAAGTTCAAAGCTTTGTAAAAGTTAAAAGTTAGAAAAATCCCACTGCAGAATCAGTATTTTGTAGCCTTTGAAGCTTAAGTTGAAAAGATCCTAGAAAAAAATAAAGAGATGGATAACCTTAAATTGGGTATTGGTAAAGAGTTTCTAGAAACTTCATAAATCCTTGAGTCTTACATAAAATCTTGTTCCAATTTTGGTTCAGTTGAAACATTTAAGACAAACATATAATCTTCTTACGTTGGACAACAACACATCAAAATCAGCACAATAAAGAAGAAAACAAAGAGTTCACGTTCATGAAAGTACTCGAAAGACAACCTTGTATTTCTCTTACTTTTAACTTCAAAAATCTCATTGAACAAAAAAAAAAAAAAAAAGCAAATATTAATGCAGTTTGTAAGGTTCATTAAAACCAAAACATATGGAGATAGGTTCAACTGAACAATTTGAAATAAACATATGATCGTCTTACGATCCACACAACACATTAAAGTCGCCACAATAAAAGAGAAATTAAACACAGAGTTAACAAAGTACATAAAGGCAATCTTGTATGTCCCTCGATGAGAATCAGAGAACAATGACTTGGCATGAGCTGGAGAGCCTTGGAATCTTAAGGAGTTCTCGGACGATGGCAGAGTTCTTTCTGGAACCATTATCCAAACGAAGAGTGAGTTTCTTGAGGATTGGCGAGTTCTCAAGTAAGTACCTCACAAATTTCATCTCCATCGCGTCCCCTTCCAATGGCGATTCTATCTTAACATACTCGAGAGATGATAGGAGACGCGGAGGTCCAGTCAAAATACTAGCTCCCTCCTCCGGGAATGTAGTAGATTCCTGATATTACAACCAAGTGAATGAAACAAGTTTGAGCAATTATGATACTTTCCCCATTTGCATCACACCAAAGAAAGAACATAAAATTTAATGTAAACAGTCCTTACCACGATAAGAGAGTTTAGATTTGGGCAGCGATGAAGAAAGACTGGTAGCGTTTCCCAACTGTTTTCGTAGAAGTCAACAGTTAAGGAAGCAAGGTTGCGAAATACGGGCAGCGGTTCACATTTGGATAATTTATAAATGACCTACAAAACAACCACACAGCAAAAAGAATGTTCACATGACAAATTGAAAACATTAAACTAAAAAACTGAGCAAACGTTACCTCAAGAGTACATTGAGCCAGTATCAAATTTTTGACACAAGATATTCCAGCAAGAAACTTCCGAATCATGTTTCTCTTCCTCAGATCGGTCGGATCAAAGGCCTTTTCGAAAGAAAAGTTAATCTGAATATCCGCCCGTACAAGAGAACTCATATTGCTTACTACAAAGCTTTCGGTTAAATGATCAGAGAGTTGGAGATCTTCAAGCCTCGGGGCATCAACAGACACGACCAGATCATCAAGAGGACCCTTCTTCGTGGAGCCGTTATAGATGAAGCTCAACAGAGACTTAGAGCTCACATGTAAGACTTTGACATTGTCATTGGGGCTTCTGTATAAAACTAAGCTTTCAAGAACAATGCATCCTGAGATGAGCCTTTCGAAAGCCAAATCGTTGGCAAACTTAACCAAAACTAGATCAAGAACTTTGACAGACGGTAAAGACACAGACTCAAGGTTAGGCAATATTGCATCAGACAGCTTTAAAGAAACCAAGCTCTCACACATGTAAAGTGATGGAGGCATCACCACTTCACCCCAGACAACACCGAGCTGCTTAACATGTCGCTTCACGACAGCGTTGATCCAACGCGTAACATTAGCATTATCGGTCTGCTCATCTCCATCGTCATCCGCATCAAGAACACTATCGTACCTTATCTTAAACTTTTCTAAGGACGACTCACTGTTGAAACTCAAGAACCCATCGATGAATTTCACAACAACATTGTATTCCTTGAAATCACGACAGTCCAGGTCCAGACCAGGAACATACCTCCAGAGATGTCTCCATTTGCTGTATACGACACTTGCCTTGACCACATCTTTTGTCGGAAGTTTCAAGAGAACATGCCATTGCAAGGATTCAGGTAACTTTCTTAGCCAATCAGCTCCAACACCAGATGCGTTTGCACGAACTTGTTCCCTTCCCTCTTCATCCATGATTTTGTGAAGAAGCAACACGAAGAACTCTTTCGATCTCTCTCCTTCAAAAATTCTGAGAAGCGGCAATGAGTTTGTGTGATCAATAATAAAATGAAACCTAACAGTACCACCTTAACGGCGTCAGTAATATGATGACGGAGAGAAACAAATATCTCAGATTTATT